AGAGCCAGTTTCTCACTCTGAGCTCTAGAGTCGTTCTTTTTAAGGGCCATTGTTTCAATGTATTACCCAGTATTAGAATTGCACTCCCTGATATGTGAAGATGTATCTAGAGACACTTTTCCATTTGTGCTGTAAATGCTGATCACTGATTAACCATCACCTGTTACCTGTGCACCTCTCTTGTAGGCAGGAGCCAGTGCTGTGTTGGGCAGGACAATCTGGGGAGTCCTGGGCATGGGTGCCTTTGGATTTCAGCTCACAGAAGCACCTGCTGGGAAACACATAATCGTGACCACCCGTTCCCACAGCAGTGCCCTTGTAAATGACTGCATCAGTGCCTTGAACCCAGACAATGTCATCAGAGTTGGAGGAGCAGGAAACAAGGTATGAAAACTCCAAATCTATTGTGGTGGTACCTTTGGAAAAAGAAAAATAATTTTTAAAGGAATCATTTGCTTACTTGCATGAATGTACAAGGCGCTATCTCCTTCTTCCCCAGCACAACTTCCTAGCATTCAGTCTGCTATGAGGTAGAGAGAATTTGGTATATTTGTAACAGTGATAGTGCTGGTCATGGCTGAGGTCCATCTTCCCCAGTATTGTGTTTCTAGGGAAGAAAATAAAAAGTTATAAGACCAGAATGACTAAATGGGAATTCAATTTAATCACAATTATTCGGCATTTCCTCCTGTTGATATTAATACAGCTTTTGTTCCAACTATCTAGCAGCACATATGAAAGGATAAAAATATAAGCACACAGTGATAGTTTCTTTGCAAAACTTCTCTGCATATGGGGAATACTCATTTGCTACAGTCTTTAAAGCTAAGTTTTGTCATGGCTGTCAAAAATAGACCTTTCAGTCTCTTTTCTCCAACATGAGCAAGGCCCAGAATGGCACCAAGACAACATGATGATAGTTTCCACTTTTTTTTAGTACTTGCATAAGATGGGCATTCTTGTTTCTGAAACTGAGATTTTTATCCTATAGACTGTATTTATAACACTAAAAAATTAGATAATTCAGAATGATAATACAGTATAGCTTTATAAATGTTACTATCATTTCTTGTAATACCAGAAGGGAAATGGCTGGTGTTCCTTTTCTGACTGTAAGTACAATAGAATAAACTGATCTAAACCCTGTTTCCTAGTGTTATTTTTACCCATTTCTGAATGCCTAGATCCTTTGCAATGACTGCTACTCTCTATTCATAACAGATCATTCAACTTATAGAAGGCAAGGCATCTGCTTATGTATTTGCCAGTCCTGGGTGCAAGAAATGGGATACTTGTGCACCTGAGGCTATTCTACATGCTGTGGGAGGTAAGTTAATAGCATTCAAAATTCCAAGATATGTGAAACTGCATCAGTTTGAAGTTATTTATACTTTCAATAGAAAACAATAATTTCCAAACATGTCTTTGGAATAAAAAAATGACAGTACATATGTATTTTGAAATAGTCACGATTCACTAGGAGCTTTGAGCCCTTTGAAAACAACAGTAACTCCACAGGGACAGCAAATGATGTTCTGGAAAGCATGATAAGATCTGTTTTGCCCTAGACTATTACACTCAATAAGTGTCAAATGATTAAAAAAGCCAAATTTCAAGACTTTGGGTATGTTAATTTTAATCTTTTCAAAACAATTGGCACTTTTTTTTTCTGGTGGCTACTATTTCACAGTAAAATCACACTGACCTACTAATGATATATTAGTTATTGGTAACATATTATGTAATATGTGGACATTGATTTCTTTAAACGACAAAAATAGGACAAATCATGCAGATGTTCCTCAAATGTAGAAACTTCAAAATTGAGTCATTCGTGTAATTCAGTAAAATTAGTGGTCTCCAGCCACTTCACCTTTCTAGGTGATAAGTTAGAGAAGTTATGAAAAGTCTCACTGACAAGAATTTGAATATAAGTATTATTAAACTTCTGCTGTTTACATTGATAGATGTTTTACCACCGTATGCTAAAACTGTTGGTTTTGATCTCCTAAATTCTGTCAAGCAAGGATAATAGGCTTGATAATGACATTTTTTTTAATCTCCTCTGCAGTCTCTAGTGTTGATAACTGGGATAGCTTTAAACAGGTTAGCTCAGGCACAAAAACTCAACAAATCTGGGGCAGCAGTGCTGTATTTAGCCTCCTTGTCATGTAGGTATCTCGTGGTTAAATTAGATTGCATAAAGATCTGTGTTGCTCTTGCCAAGTGTTTTCTAGAAACTCATTTAAAATCAGGTGAGGTGTTTCTATATTACATTAGTTTGTTGTATAGACTAAGCCTGGCTTTACTTGCACTGAGGATTTTTCTTTCCTTCTTGTCAATGGCCAATGTAAAAGCTACTGAGGAAGCATTTTAATTAAGCTATGAGAGAGAGATGTTGTTTTCCTCTCCTGAACCACAAGGAATTTAAGTATTGCTGAAATAAAAGAAAACCATTGGTTATTTGATTTCAGTCAAGAAAAAAAATGTTGCACTTAAACTATGAACAAAGATATTGTACATCTGAAGACAGGCATGTGCATGCCAAAGACCATTTTTTTTTTTTCAGTTGTGTCACTTGTGCCAATAAAATAGATTATCTCCCTCCAACTCGTTTGCTGGAATATTTTTTTCCCTTTATTTTTTTTTTCCAGGCAAGATAACTGATATCCATGGAAATTCATTTCAGTATAACAAGGAAGTGAAACACATGAATTCAGCTGGGGTCCTTGCCACTCTGAGAAATTATGACTATTATGCCAGTCGTATTCCTAACACGGTTAAACAATCTCTTGTGCCTTAAAGCAGGAACACATCTGCACTTGCCCTGGAAGGCAAGAAAAAGGTGAGCTTGGAAAAAGAAAGAAAGAAGACAACTGAGCTTGGAATTTTATTTTATGGAATCTGAAGTGAATTCTTACATTAAGGTGTTCAATAATTTCAAAATTACATACAGAAATCTCTAGGAATATGTTGGATCAAATTGTTTTGCTGTGTTTAGCAGACAACATCAAAACAGTAACATTTCTTTAGTAGTTGTTATCCATATTCTTGAGGAGTATTCATTCTTCATGACTGTTACTGCTAATCATAACACTACAATCCAAAAATTGTCTTAATATTCAGGACACAAAATCATGTTAAGTGATTTGTTTGATCTTGCTCAATGTTTTTTGTTGTATGTAGTCAACAAGGGTTTATTGTGTTAAATGCAAATGGACTAAGCGTTTGCCTGGATGGATTAGCCCATTTATTATAAAATTGACAGTTTTCATTCTTAGAAGTGAATCTTGGAATTTTTTGGTCTGCATTGAGTTTTGGAATGGCTGAGATTGCTATGTGTGTGTTGGGTTGTCTGAGTTTTGCAGGAGCCAGGACACGGTCCAGCTGGGCCTCTGATATCTCAAATAGTGGTTCCTGGATCATTTGATCTATTGAGGATCAGTGAAGTACTAATACAGCAGGGTTCAGGACACCTCAGTTGAGGAGAACCTAAGGAAACTGCAACACAGGGAGGAGGTCGCAGCACCTGAAATGCCTCTGTCAGGGTCTGTGCCACCTCAGTCTTGGAGAGCTTTGGCCAGCCTAGGTCACTTTGTCATACATGGGGACAACAGAAACGCCTGTGTTGTCAGGGAGCGTGCCTGAATTTGGCTGCTTGCTTACATAAAGACTGAATGCCTAAGCTCTGCCAGCGTTACTTTTCTTTTTTTTTCTTCACCTCTGCTGACACCATGAATGGCAAAGTAGCCTGCAAGTTGCACTGCACCCATTCTCACTTCCTCCCTGCCCACAAGATTAAGTCCTCTAGATAACTACGCTCTTGAGTCACTCAAACCGTCTGTAAGCTAGCATTGAACTTCAAGATAATGAAGCTATGTTCTCCATAGAGAAGATAATTTTAAAATTCAGTTTTCACCAGTGTGTTCAAGTTACTTCTTTCATCACGCAACACTAATTTACTTAGAGTCCTTAGATTAGATCCTTTCCTCACAGTAGAGTAACAGCAGTATGACTTTTTTGGCTGAATCTGGCTGTATTTCCAGTAAGCAGGAATATCTTGACACCAAAAGATATGAATAAGGCAACTCTTGCTAAAGTGTTCCCAGGCTCTCCATGGGCACGCATGGAAAAGGATTCAAGGAAACTCTTTCTTTAGTGAGGTCAGTTTCTCATAACATTTATAGATAAATTAGCAAGATGATTACTTACCTCATTCTGTCATCATCACCCAGTCCACAATGCTATCATGACACTGGATTAAAGCTGCATAAATAGGAAGAACACATGCTTCTTATCCTTTAATCTATAGCTTACCTTTCTTCTCCTCCCTTAAGTGCATGACTAGTGAGAGCACACAAAACAGACTCAGCCTGCTTTAATTAGAGCCACCTTCATATTTTGACCCATTATAAGTTTAACCATTTCACATATTGATTGTGATTGAAGTTTGAACCACATAGCAGGTACAAGATCAATTTAATTTCACTGCGTCAATTATACGTAACCTTCACCTTTATCTTCTGCAGGATTCTTGGATATGCATGCTTTAGTAATCACATCAAAATCTGCATTTGAACTTGCAGAACATATTTAGACAAAATGTGGAATGACTTGGACAACACAAAGCCTGCCTAAGTCTTTCCATATAATCAGTAAAATACAAAGTACAGAGCCCACTGTTAGTAATCCTCATCTATGCCTCTATATCCTTATTTTCATCTGAAACTTGCTACATGTTTGAATATTTCCTCAGCCTAAGTATCTTTCTAATTCTACTGTAATTTATCTCTGCTCATTTAGTTAACCACAGTCAGACTGTAACACACATGGCATACACCAGCTTCTACCTGATGCGTAAAGATGCTTATGTATGGAACTCACTTGCCATGCTTACAGAAACTGTGAAATTGCTAACACAGGAAGATATTAAGGAATTTTGGAATA